GACAAAATAAGGAAACAGAATGTTGAAAAGAATTTCGCGAAAGCAAATTCCAATGGGATCGAGTTTAAAAAAAGGGGACGTTTTCAGCCTGTCCCAGGGGGACCATTAATTTCATCGAAGAAAAAAAAACATTTGTTCCGGGCGCATATATGCGGGTCCTCCAAGATGGCCCCGAGGTTTTCACGATAATAACGGCGAACCCGTAACAGCCGCGATATTTTCGCGCAGCCGAACGGGAGGAGATCAAAAGTCGATCTAGCGGCTCGCTTCTCTAGGCCGAGATATTATAGATGAAGATAACATCTGACGTCGGTGAACGCAGGCTGCGGGGGGTCCGTTCTCTCGCAACAGGTCTCCGAGTATGTTCCTACCTGTTACGACTGTTCTCAGGGGCCTTCGTCATTATAATGTTAAACGATTCGGGAGAGGAGCGGGTTCGACGCTTGCATCAGCTGCCTGAAACAGTCTCGATCGAAGTGGAGCAGGAATTTCTTTTCTCTAGATTCGTTTCTTTTTTATTCCATTATCGACAGTGGGACATTTTCACGGCGTATTTATTGCTCAATGGATCACTCGATTGTCTGATCATTTCGTAATCGTTTGATATACTACAATAAAAAAAGGATCTCTTATTGATATGGCGTTGGGTTAAATGGATCCAGACATCAAGTTTTATTTATGTGATTCATTCAATTATGATTTTCTATAGGTAGTAAAAAATACGAAGTTTTAAATGACACTTTAATATAGATTTCAAAATTTAGTGAATGTACTACGATCCAAAGAACGAATAGATACGTACAGTTTTAGTTATTGTAGTTGAATATTTCCTGAATTCTGTCCCACCAAAGTTAGAAACTGGAAACTGTATTCACGAATTCAATTGTATGTCCTTACAATTTTAAGAACGTACTGATAATTGTTTCCAATTAAGAACCAATGGAGCTTACTAAGCAATTAAACTACTGTTCTTAAATATTCGCAATCAATTGCGAATTTAACTATATAGCTTTCATAATTTTTAGTTAATAACAACTGCACGTCAATTTAAGTTTCGAGAGTTTTAAATTCTGTTGCTTTCCGAGTGAAAGCTATCAATATTAATAATTAAAAAGTACAAATAGTGACAAGAATCACTTTACTTATACATCCAGCAACCCTGACAGTGGCGCCATCAGTGGTGAAACTCTCAAACTGGTTAACAAAAAATTTAATCAAAATAGTTCATGGTGCTGCCACCATATGGCAAAAACTACATATTAATTGATGAGTAGCTTGGACGTTTTGCCGTAGATGACGCTGAAAAAAAACAATTTACCTATACCCTCACTCACCAGGTATAACATAACAAATTCTATATTCTTATCACTAACTTTATGTATAACACAGATTCGATAGTTAATTAATTTCAATAACCAATTAATTTTATCGATTTTCAAAGTTTATCATACAAATTTTTATTACTTTATCTATAATTGTAGAATGTTTTTAAAAATACTATGTATTGTATTCCTTATCATTACATATTTTCCATTTAGTGCAATATATCTACTATAACAGACCCAATTGTGCAATTACTTCTTGATTTCTGTTTAATACAAGGATACACCGACAAAGAATAAAAAGAAGTAACGAGTCGTCTTCTATAATTTAATTCGAGAAAGCATAATAAATATGTTATCAAGGAATAACAGTATCTGTACAAGAACAGCGTGTAACGTTATATATAATGTCTCATCCGTAACGAATATAAAATTACAATTGTACAATTCGAGAATAAATAACGTCGCGATATATGCTCTGTTTCCCATAAAGATTTCGTGTAAAGCTACTAGGAAGGATTGTACTTTTCCCTGAACGGCATAGCGAATTTTTCTACAGAAAACGTACAAGAAAAAAGTCGACGTCCTTCGGACAGATTATCAAACGATCGTTAATATCTATCTATACCCGACATAGAAAAAAAAAGGATTCACTAAGTACTATAATAAGCGTGTCGCTGATCGATGGGATGTAATATGCTAAATACGATCGATCCTTTATTTCTATCGAATGAATAAAAAAAATGAACATACGATCAACGATTTCTTCGTTACTTGTGATTTACACCAACGGTAAAAAATATGGGACCAAGTCTTGTTCATTATAATTACTGGAAACGAAGAACATTGTATTATAAATAGTAAACAGAAAGTCTCAATTTTTAAGCTACGAACAAAATTGTATTTCGTACAAGAAATCGCCGTGAATTATGAGACAATACAGAAACTGTACTTTGGAAATTATTTCGTACAAATATCTTCTACTTAGAGAGACACTAATTTTAATGGTCCCATGCTTTCAACCGAGACTGTAACCGAACGAATGCGGCAACAACTATGAAACTGGAATTAGAGTGAAAATTAAAAATACTTTCTATTCGTTGCTTCCTCGCGGATGATCATGCTCCTCGTGTAAAAAAAATAGAGTCGGCTAGTAACGTTAATAGATCAATTCCAATTCTCTCTCCCGCAGGCTGTCTGAACTTTCGTTGGCCAAACCACCTTTAGGAACATATATTTTCTAAATGAATAAGAAAAATGCCTCTCTCAGGAAGTATCGAAATGAAATACAAGTATCGAACACGAAAACGAAAATCGTCCGTTGAGTAGGTACTTGGAAAAGTATGTTTCGAGTGGAACGAAAAAAACTCGTTTTTGGCCACTCTTAGGAAATTTCAGTCAACCTGTCGACGCATACACACACACACACACACACACAGACGCACCCAGGGCTGCCAACTTCAATAAATTCTAGAAAACTTAACAAATCCTTGGCAAAACATCGATATGATTCAATTATCATTAAATCCATTTAGCACCACATGAAGACACCGATCGACGATGATATTCCTTAAAAATCGATTGGCCAGCCCAAATTACACGAACTGAAACACTTCTTCATCGCACTCATTTGTACAAGACGTAGAATGTTATTGCACTTAAACAATCTCCCACCACGGGCCAGACTTCGTATGATAAATAAAAATAATTGCTTCCGGCATAAGCCACGCGACCGCAGAGACTCCGTATCTACACGTACACTGACGTGTAAACTCGACTTCCGCTAAGGGAACAAGTGGTGTACTGGAAAGGCCTCCTACCACTTGAAATTTATGCAAAATCAACATTCGATTTAACCTTTATTTCAGTACTTGGAATAAATTTACCAAATGGTAAGAGGGCCTTCTCCTACGCCACTTTTCCGTCAGGGGAAAAAGTGATATAGGAGAAGAGCCTTCTAGTACTTGGTAAATTTATTTCAAACACTGAAATAAATGTTAAATCGAAAATTAATTTGACATAAATTTCAATAATTCTTGATAACAAATTGTAGGAACCCCTTTCCCCTACGCCGCTTTTTCCCATAGTGGAAGCCGAGTTTCTTCGTCGGTGTACAATGCGTGTGTATAAATATTTCACGACAAGAAACGTTACCGACCGGAGCATCGGTCCCGATGAATTAATAAATAGTCGCTAGGTGTGATTACATGTATACGATAGTAACCGTTTTCACTTGCATTCAATTGTAATTCTAGCGAGGATCGTGTGTTATCATAAGAGCGACCGAATCGTGGTCCGCTCTATTGTGCCGCTGAAATAGTTTGCGTAAAAGGGTCAAAAAATATACCTTGGAACTGACAAGGGACGCGGCTGGTCCCTCGTGGGCTTTGTCTTAAGGAAATTCAGGCCCCCCATCTGGGGACTTAAATGTCCGCATAAAATACAATTCTAATAAATGTCATGGTTACGTGAACATCGGTGCTCGATTATTCCCTTGCTTGTAGACTATTGCTGTCCATTTCGTTTTATGATCATAGATCGCTCACGGAAGATGCATGAAAAATCTTGGTCACAATGTGCCACCAGCCTCGAATGTCGATTTCGAAGTTACATTGGTACGAGTTCTGCACGAAATTTCATTCGTTTGTGCTGTTAAATACGAGATATTCAACAGAAGCAGCCATATTTCTATGCCTCGACGTTGTTCTTGTGGAAAATACATTTTTCGACTTTTTTTAATTATCGCAGGAATACCAAGAATTTTCTGAAAATAATATTTTTGCTGTAAGAACACTTTTGTGTCGTGTGCAACCGGTAAATGTAGTCCTGGAATAATTTAAGAAAGAAGAACAATATAGAAAATAAAAATTGTCCCGTGCAATTATGCATAATGGTTTATATGGAAGATTATTTTTCAGTTTTATACTTTCGTCATATTATCATTGCGTCGATGGATCAGTTATCGAAAACTTAAGTTTCTTACTTGTATCAGTCTCAAACGTGGATTGAGCGAAAATATACGAAAATCAGTTCCTCCGTTTTCTCTTTCGACAAAGAAAAACCGCACCGGTTATTGCAATATTGGTTCGTTATCTTCACTGGTACCTACGATCCCTCCTGATTGATCTCCTCGTAGACCAACACTGTCCATCATACTCTACCATTCAAAACCATTCGATCACTCCCAACTTGCTCAATAAATATCCATCCATTTCCTTTTCTTAAAAAGCCCACGTTCATTTGTCATCGAACAAATGGTCAAATATTGTTGATCGATAACGTAAACTTTGAAGCTACCCCCATTCCGTATCTATCAATTTCCCTACTCTATCTCGTTCAGTTCCCCCAATCATTGCCCACAACAATATTATAACGTGTAGAGGGAAACACAATCGTGAACGAGGGCCCAGCATTATGGTGGTCAAACGATACATGTCCACAGAACGATAATAAAATCTTCTGGCAAATTTTCGAGATAAATCGGAAAATCGTAAAAAAAACTGACCTTGATCAACACACTCTTCATCCTCAAAGATCGTGACACACATTTCCGAACCAGCCTTTGCATTCCATCAAATTCTTCTTACCATTCACACCAACCAAAGTCTTCTCACCAGTGCTCACGAAGCACCTGTTCTCGGAGATCTCACGCTCGCGGAACCGCCTATCTTGGGCCGTTACAGAACAGCTGGATAGACTACACGCTGGTCTTCCTGTACGACCGTTTCGCATATTTTCCAAATATGCCTTCAGCGCGCCTCCGTAGGTACACCATCGATTTCTGCCTCGAAATCACCCGTCGCCTCTGCTGTCAAAGAATCGAGACGTCCTCGCTGTTTCTATTCTTCGGTAGCATGACGCTCGCCTCCTCTACCTGAATGGTCCCGGTGCTACGGCTCCCTCTGGGGTGCTCGGTCGTCATTCCCGGCTGGATGTTCACGTACCTGGGTGTCTCGTCGTCGTTTCGTTTGAAATTCTGAAGACTGATAGCTGGACCCGCGGACGGTTCACTTAAAGTGGGCAACAGGGGTCTGGAGCTCTCCAGATCGAAGACCTCGTCCCCTAACAGAGACTCCCTGTTCTTGTCATCTTGGCAGTTTATGTCTAACAGGAGAGGACTTGGGATTTCCGTGGGACTGGACGCTGATGTGGACGAATGATTCCGGTGCTGGGGTGGCCAAGACAAAGAGAACTTCCGGATGTTCTCGGTCAGATGCATCTCGAACTGGCCAGTATGATCTATTTGTACGCTGGCTAGGGGAACGTCCAAACAGGGCGATAATATTCGTGGACTCGTAGCTAGGATCTCAACGATCTCTGGAGCTGTTGGCCTCTTCGTGTGGTCTGTCTTCCAGCAAGAATACATCAAGTTCTCTCTGTGGAGAATAAGGAAATTGGCCCTGTGTTAATATGTTCTTGGTCGAGATGTCTGTCGACATTTTTTGCCAATTCATATGATGCTTCGAGACGATTAACAATGCGTAGACCGCGCAGAGGATGAAATGTTGTGAATGAATGTGATAACTTGCACCGAGGATCGGTTTCTGAATGTCTAAAAAAAGATTTAAGTGCATGATAAAAAGATACTGATACTTACAGCTGTGGCTTCACGCCTTTAGGGACGGCCAGTGAGTTTCCAGCCTTGACATGAGTCAGTACTTCATTGTTGCTCATTCCCTGGAACGGAAAGCTTCCGAATGTGATAATCTCGTAGAGTAGGACACCGTAGGACCAGACATCCGAGGCTGGAGTGAAGACTCCGAGACCTAAGGATTCTGGTGCCATCCATCTTACTGGCAGCATTCCTGTAACAGGAACACAAATCGAAACGTGAGATTCTATGGTAACAGATTTTACGATTATGTTAAACTAAACTTTTAATAAATACCTTTACGATTAAACCTATAATAATCATTCTCGTACATAGGTCTCGTCATACCAAAGTCCCCAAGTTTCACTGTACGTAGGGCGTTCACCAAGCAATTCCGGGAGGCAACATCCCTGAAGAGAAGAGAACATTGCAAGTTTCAGCTTTAAACCTCGTCAATAATATTCAGAATAATTTCAGCCGAGGAAAGAAATAAAATAGAGATGGTTGTACTCTTACCTATGAACGTATTTCAATTGCGCCAAGTAGCTGAGTGCTCTAGCCACATCCAGCGCCATTGCGGTCAGCTTCTTGTTCGAAATCTCATCGGAATCTTCGTAATTGTGATCGTTCACCAGGTGTCTTCTAGCGAGCAGGTAAGTCTTCAAGTCGCCGTAGAGCATGAACTCCATCACAGTTAGCACAGGCTCGCCCTTTATGCAGACGCCCAACAGTTTGATGATGTTCTTATGCTCGAATCTCTTCATCACCTCCACCTCGCTCAGGAAGTCCAATTTCTCATCGGTGGAACTCCCAACCTTCAAGGTTTTCACTGCCACGGCTAGCCAACCTTTCTCAGGGAACATCGCCTCGCCACCATAAACTGTACCGAAAGCACCCTCGCCTAATATACGATTGATCACCACATTATCTCGAGGAATCTCCCATTTGTCTAAATCGGGACTATCCACCTGGGAGAAGTCCAAACCCAGGGACTTGATGTACTTCTCGTGTTGTTTCACTTTTTCTTCGTACCTAAGACAATAGTTGATCGTAGTTGATTCAAATAATTAGACCAGTTCAGTATCTCACTTGCTTTTGATTCGCAGAAAATTAATTTTAATCGATACTCAGAGTGATGTCTATCAACTTTGATTCATTTTTGCAGTAACCCCTCTATCGTAGTTATTGACAACAATATGTAATCACTTCTAGAAGAACATCGATGACCTTGAAATTTCGAAAAATGTAACCTTGAGAAAAATTTGTGCTTATTATAGTATTTACTCCTTCGAACCAAATAATACTTTTTCCTCACATTTTTTCGGGTCTTCACAAACATGTGAGATATTGAATCTTATCGATTGTACCATACATGGTGGACCATCTCTGTAGAATTAAGGGTAGAAGTAAAATGTCTAATGAAGTCTTACTTTCTCTTGATGATGATGAAGCCAATGATCAGTATCACTCCCAACAAACCGATACCGAAAATATTGACGATCACGAAGGCAACTTCGCAGGAAACGTTCAGGAAATCTGCGAAGCCGGCTATGACGCATCTTTGGGGTAGTTCCGAGCCGTCGTCCGGCATTGTCTGCGACAACCAAACGAGGGCAGAGGCATTCAACTCCAATGTGCCACCCACTACCTCGTGTTCGGAGATGTTGGGTTGAAAATTGCCGACCAATCGGGTTTCGTTGTTGATGTATTGGACGACGTCGATCACCGAGTATCTCGACGGACCGCCCAAGAAATTGATTCTCCCCGACACCTGAAACAAAATGGTAAACCTCGAATGCAGAAACTGATATACAGATATAGTGAAGAAGTTTCGTTCAGCAATACTTAGTTACTATCTGATCGAGTCATTAATAATTTTCCTAACAGTACATTTATTGCTTCAATGAAAAGTATTATGTGCTTCTTATGACTACAGAATAAAAGATATTGATTTTTCATCATGTGTTTTTCACGTACCCCATAGAAATCCGTCTGGCCAATGATGTCCGTCAGTCGATCGGTGGTCTGATCGCTATGAAGGTCGAAAACATAGGTCTTCTTCTCCTTGATCAATCGATCCATCGCGTAGGCGTACGTCCACATCGCGTCGTACGCGTAACCAGCGTAATTCGAGGGTGGTTGATGATAAGTCTTGCATAACGTCTCGTAACGATCGCGCCATTCACGAACGGTTATGCCCTCTTGCATGATGGCGTCGTCGGGTGCGAAGTGTGCGTGAGAGATACCAAGATGGCCGTTGATGGCCTTGCTCATCTCGAACGTGGTGCACGGTACTTTCTCGCCCTGCTGGTTATAGTGATCGGTATCGTACCATTGGGGACGGAGCCAGAGTGGCAAGAACCACACATAACCCTGTAATCATAAAATATTAATTTAAACAATAGCTACGAAAGAGTGGGATTCATAGAAGAAAATTTCTCGTGCTGTGTTAAAAGTATAAAAATTAATGAAACATACCTGAAAGGCAGTCATCTGCAGCCTATACGCCTCGCACATCGCTTGCCGGGCAACCTGATCGTTCACATCGGCGATGATGATCTTCGCCTTCTTCTGCTTCAGATCTTGCAGATACTGGAAATTGAATCATTCCAACGTCAGTTATTCGTATATCAGGTCGAACACGTCATCGTGAAATGTGTGCAGTTAGAATCTTGCATCTACATAAACAAGATATTGAAAACATAGAAAATAGTTTTTTCTTTCTCCACGGGCTCTATGACGCACGTCACGGACCTGAATCATGGACTAAATTCTAGAGCAGACGTTTAGAGAACAAATTTCCTCGTGTATCCTAGACACGTTTACGATTTTTCTAATCGTATAGTTGTCCCAAGGTTTGTTAAACGAGAAGCAAGTTTAAAAAGCAATAAATTCAGCAGCGTGTTCAAACTTATTCAACCGATAACGTTATCCCGTATTGTAAAAATCCATTAATATAGATGAGTGATGCCTATTTTCCATGATTTAGCAGTCTGACGTCTACACAGTCCACACCATTCCTACACGATTAGTGTAACAAACTCCCTATAGATTGGAGGCAATCGTCTTATCCACTTTCTTTAATCGTTTCTACTATAGTTAACAGATACCATACACGGTTCGGGGTACTTCAATGCTTCCAACTAAGAAGTACTAAACGAAATTTTATCGTTACAAAGTAATACAAAGCCTAAAGATCACAGTTTGTCAATTTTTTTCATTCATTTCGAGTCTCTTGCTCCTTTTATCCTCTCTAAAACACGAACACTGAAACAAAACATCTACAAACACTACCTTAATCATCACGTCGGTCTCCCGTTCCCTAGGAAACTTGACGTTCGCGACGAAAGCGATCCCCTCATCTCTGAACAGATCCTGCATGTAGGATATATACTCGGTGTACTTCTGTCCGTCCTCTGTCAACGAGGCCACCCGTAGCCAGCCGAATTTCTTCAGCAACTGCAGATAAACATGCTGATACTGCTTGTTTTCACCGATGGTCCGAAAGAAATACGGGTACTTGGTTCGATCATTGAAGCTAGATCCTTCAGCGCTGTAGCTGATCACCACGGTCTTGTAGTGCTTCGAGACGCCGACCAGAGGCTCCACGGTGTCCGAGCAAGCTGGTCCCAAAACACCGACCAGTTTCTCATAATAATTGTTCACGATGTAATCGATGAAGGACTTCATCACGGTGCCCGACTTGCACTGGCCGTTGTTAGCCAGTAGGGTCAAGTTGTAGTCGGTCAGGACCGTTTTGTTCACGTTGATCGCGTTCTTGGCCATGGTAGCAGCAACTAGGATCGATTTCCCTGAATAGAAGGTTTCACTCATCGGGAATATACCGCCCACGTAGAGCAGACTCTTGCTGGAGTAGCTTGGCATCCAGTTCTCCAGGGTAAAGTTCAAATTGTCCCTTAGCCAACCGCAGGCGATCTCCTCCTCCCCAATCTTTCCATGGAGTCTGTTGTAACGTTCGATCAGCTCCTCGTACATCTCGCCAGTAAACGTAGCCTCGTTGATTATCTCGAACGCCGACTTCGCGATGTACTCGAGCTTCAACCAGACCAGTTTGGTCAGCCGATTCGACTCGTAGCTGCAGCTGACCTCCGAGGGCAGGGTACCGCAACGCGGGAAATCGATCGAGACGAATCGTTTCTCGTTTGGTATGATGCTGCTTGGTGTCCAATGGAGGAACACCAGGGACCTGGATGAACAAGCAAAATATTGGCTGGTGAACACAGCCGTAAGCCCCGATGTAGACGGAAATAACGAGGTGACGCGGCGGCGTGTTTTTCACGGACTTGCCGCATGAAAAACACGGCCTGGCGGAGGACGGCACGATAATAAAAAAGCGCAATAACTCGGTGAAATATTTGACGGTGGGGAATGTGTTTTGCGGGAACGACCGCGAGCGCAAACGGCCGTCTGTTTGCGTTTTGGTGGAAACGTTTATCGAGCGGTATAATTATCCGCGGAATACGCCGAGGAGGAAAATAATAGACGGAGGAACAAGTTCGCAGGAGAGATATTGGCGTCTGACCCGCGCGTTGAGTGATTCGATGGTACCGTGCAACGAGTGGAATTTTTTTCCCATCAGGTAGGATAACTTGCACTATAATAACAGAATGTGCAATGTACAATTTGTTCCCTCCTATAAAGAAACATATTACTATCAGATTTTTTAGAGTTTCTATTCAGCAACCTACAGAATAACCTCAACCTTCATCCCAATCTCCGTGTCAAGTAGACCATAAAAAAATTCATAGATACGAAGACCATGAGGAACTACAGTTCCCCAGGTATTCATGCCTGTTATCGGTCTCACGGAAATTATGCAACCCAGTCCCGCGGTACCTGGTATTCTACATAAGAATCAGTGACACACGACAAGAGTCACGCGCGCAGCATTCATGTGTTAAAAAAAATATTCTAATACCTGCTGTCAGGTGTGTTGCGTGCACGGCGCAAGTATTCTTTGGTCAAAGTCTCGGTCAGGTGTTTCAGGTTGGGTCCAACCCAGGCGACTTTCACGTACAACTTCATCTTCTCGATGTCGTTCTGCACGAAGTCCGTGACATCTGGATGACTGGTCAGCAGCAGTGCGCAGGGCTGTTGACCTTGGCATTGTTTAGGAATGTACATTCCCTGCTGACAGAAGGTATTGTTGCAGTAATGGGTCCTGGTGATAGGGTCGATGGTGTGGTTCCTGATCATGGACAGAGTGGCCTCGTCCACGTCGAAACGTAACGCTGTTTCTGGCCTGGTGAACGTCACCCAGCTTTCACCTGGCCTGGAGAACGCTTCAGGTACGAACCAACCAAAGTGTCCCGGTGGAGCAATGGATCCTGAGTCCCTCACGTCGAATACAGCCAACAGAGGCATAGGATCGACCTGTGGCGGGATCCAAACCTCCATGTTCACCATTGGCTGGGTGAATCTGTTTAATGGAATTGCCTGATGAATGAACTGGGCTCTAAATAGCTGCTAGATGGAGATTATTTTCGAGAGCGTTACATTTCTCCCTCTTCCCGGACTATGGCGGCGTATGTTACGTTGGTCAGTCTGTCGAAGATATCCCGTAGGTTAAACTTGTCGTCGATCTCGACAACGTTCACTCCCGCGTAGCCCAACACCTCCGTTAAGAAGATCTTCATAATGAATGAGGACAGCCTTTGTGACACCCTGCGGGAGATCTCGAAGTTTATGCTGACCGGTTGACCGTCCAAGTTCACCGGTCTCTTTGGATTAATTTCTGATGGAACAAGAAGTGTTGTCGCGTTATCTTTTACGGATTTTCGTTTGACAGTGATCTAACTCGGAAGACCGTCAGATTGATAGTAGAAATCTGTGATCGGATAATTAGGTTGGAATAATTGTATACCTTCGAGCATTGTCAGGCAGCGATTCGAAACGACCATTCTCGTGACTGACATTAGGACCAACAGGCCCAGAATTGATCCGACTCTCAACATCTTTATCTTCTTCTTTTCCTGTCAACAATAAGTTTAGGGAACCGTTAGACTTTCGTACCTTAACACGTTCTTTCGTTTGACGCTTTAACCCTTTTACTACCTTCAAATTTTTCTTTGTACCATCTAAAAATACTTTGGAAAATATGCTTTTTTAAAGAGATTTATTAAAATTAATACATTTTTCCTAAAACGATAACTCTACACTTTTTTCTGTATTTTATTGTAGAGTGTATTTTGTTTTACATAAAAATTCGAAATATCAACTCAAGGTATTTGTGGCAAAAAGTACCAAGAGGGTTAAAAATCACGTACAAATTAATTCTCGTTCTATACACTTTTCAGTTTTAATTCTTCACAGTGAAATGTCTGATGATTTGGAGAACTCATTGTATAATACATAGCAACGAAGGTTTAGGAAGTTTCACGATGGTGATTTCAATCCAACTGATGTCATTATCGATCGATAATGATATTTCCAAGAAAATCATCGACAACGAACTATGACAATACATATCGAGAAATCACAGAAATAAGACGGAACGTATTACACTTTTGACTCGTTTATACAAACTCTGAACAGTTTCAATCGAAAGAAGCCATTACCAATCCAAATATGTCTATTTTACTCGAGACGTGTAGACTCTCGGACGCCAAGAATGCCAAAATTCAGGGCACAGAGCATCGTCCTCTCGCCAAGAGTGAGAAAAACCGTGGCTGGATAGCTTCCAAGGATTCGATTATCAAAATATCCGATCCAGAGGCTGCACCGACACGAAATCACCATTACAATAGAAACATCGATACGTACTCGGCTGACCCGTGAAAGGATGAATCTCCTCGGCGTGGTGCAAAATTCAAATATCTTTTGTGAGCCAACCGACGCCGTTAATAGAATCCTGAGGCAGCCGGTTCGACGAACAATAGCACGAGCACGCGTATAAATAGTAACAATGTGCCGTGAGGGCAATCCACGGCTAAACAGCCGGTGGTAAATTTAACGGCGGACTGTGCTCGCCAGAGAAGGAAGAATGGTTTGGACAGGTGGGGCGCGTGTCGCTAGAACAAGACGTACGAAGAGCATATATCAGCCGTGCCATGTTTGTTTACAGCGACGAACAGCGGGCTAGTCAGACGATCGAGAACGAAGATTAGCTTCATAATAATGAGAATAATCACATAACCTTATTGCATACATACACACTGTCGTCTGCAAGTAAATAAAAGGGAAATATATGTGATTTCTCGTATACAGTTTCAATAATCACGAAACAATGTTTACGTACAGACCTTCGACACCAGAACTACCAAAACGGTGTCAAAATGACTAGTTAGTACATTCTTGAAAATCTTATGACAATACATTTTCTCAGATCTTTCACTACTTTCAAAAGATCGTCGTGTTTATGTATGTAATCGAAAATAGGTACACGTTTATCGTCGGCAGTTCTAGTGTTAATAATTTCGTGATGTGACTTCAACTTTTGAAGCTCGACTCCTCGCATAATACACTTATGAAGGAGTAAAATCGTACAATTGACAATTTCAAGCCCTGTAACCCAATATTTCCACTGAGACGACAATATTTCAAGTACACCAAGATAACAATGAAAAAAAGTTCATACCATCTGTCACCAAAAGTGCTTCAATTTCAAAACTGAACTTAATCCTTTTAGTACCTTCCAAATTTTCCGTGTACCATCTAGAAATACCTTGAAAAATATGCATTCTTGAACATATTTATTAAAATCAACACATTCTTTATAAAAATTGACATTACATATGAAAAGTCGAAATATCAGCTCAAGGTATTTTCGTGGCAAAGTCCGTGAATTTCGGCTTTTGTGTACTAAAAGAGCTAAAATCCTAAACCTATAATTCCGGAGAAGAGTTAATATAAAAATCCTGAATAAAGTTAGCCACAAAGACCGTCGCAACAGTAACAATTCGAGCAAAAGGAACGTGTCAAAGCAACGTTCCGATCGCGTGTGTAGAGCAGAAACGTGTTGCAGAAGACAGAGGAGTTTGGACAGGTGAGAGGCGCGCGTGTCGTCGGAGGGAGAAGGACGGATGTGTATCTGCTTGCCAGCGACATTTGTTTACAACGAAGAACGTGGGAGGGGCGGGGGAGGGCACAAGCCCCGTGAAACGACGAACGCAGCGACGAGGCGAAGGTGACAAGAAGCAACGATCGCCACGTGCTATTCTTAGCCACGGGCAGCGACACACAGCGCGACGACGGTGTCGAGGCACTTCCACACGACGATCCTCCCGCTTCTGACTTTTCAACCCGTGTGAAAGCTCGGTGATATCGTGGGCGAATGAACTGCGCCGCCGTTTCTGATCCCTGACGAGCGACGATACCCCGAGGGGAGTCATATTTATTTTCGATCGAACGCACACGCGTGACGATTTCAGTTGCTTCGGGGAATCGCAGCCACGGTTTCCCGCGACCGCATTCCGACGTGAGTAACAGATCATTCAGGGAATGGATCATTTGTAATGCGTACCCGATGGAATTATTGATGTCCCTGGTACCGGCTGATTGGATGTTGTTCTCGGACTTGGCGGAATTTTGTTTTGAAACCGGCGGCAAATATGCCTCGGTGACTAACACGGGAACGGTGGTACCTCAAGAATTCCGATTTTCTTTGGAATTCACAGGTTTGTAGGAGATTTAATAAAAGCAGCGAGCAATTTTTCGTTTGTGCTGATATTCGGTTCTATGGAGTGGAACCACCCCTTGACGCGTTTACTGCCACAGTGAAAAAGGTCGCATGTAGTCAGACATAATTTATTCCGTTTTTTAAATCATAAATTGTCGAGTATTTGTATGAAACATGTCGTAAGCAGGTTTACTGCAATAGAATCTTCGTCGAATCGATTTCTTTCGTGATAAAAGTTGAAATACCTGCTTGTATAAGAATAAAAATTACGAAGAGTTTAATTGCAAGGCAAGGAGTTCCAGAAAAAAAGGGTTCCCAGAAAGCTAGTACTCGTTAGAATCGCAGCTGTTTAAGGTGAAACTTCTGTCATCGTCAGACACGTGCGTTTGCGTCTGAATTGCCGCTGATGCTGACGTTACACGTCGAATACAATAAACTGAAATGAGAACGCAATACACGACCCACTTCGTTCGGTTCGCAGACGCATTGTCTGACGCTTATAAGAGACCCAACCTTTACGCAGGTATCTAGCATGTCATCACAGTACAGTAAACTCAAAACCGAGGATGACGTTGGTTCTACTACTTTCTGCGTCATTCAACTGGTTTGCGCTTGCTGAATAATTCACGCGAAACTGGTAAAAGTGAACGAATTAATTCACAAGTACCATCGTTTGTAATATTCACGGTTAATCAAGCAGTTCTTCTCAGTATTAACAGAAATAATCGCAAAATATTCACATATCTTCCAGATTATTACTACAAAAAGAAACATCAACGAAAGAGACGTCACTTGCTAGACTACGGATTTTATACATTCATGGAATATCCGATCATCTAAATAGTAAAAAGTTTCAGGAAGTTTCTTCAGGTCTTCTTTTTATTTCGAATCTAATGGAACCCTTGACGGAGTTAACAATTTTTTCCTTGCTTGCAGTTTCCAGACAGTGATCCATAAACTTTTATATTAGCATAAATGTATGCATCATATCAATTACACCTGTCTGTCTATTACTGCCCATATCTACTTCTTCCAGGATCGATCAATACCGTATCAGGTAGACCTTCAAAGACGATTTTCTCGTGAACGGAATCTTCTGTGGAACAACTTTGTTCCAGACTTTCGACTGACCTTTCCACGATGAATCATCCCCATGTCGATTGTATCCCCAATAACGAGCAGGTGTTACGTAATTGTTCGAGATCTTTGAAATACTCCAAATGTGAACAGCATACACTCGACGGCGATACCACAAAACTTATCAGAACTAGCGTAGACATTTTCATCGACGTTGCGTCAGGTCGTGGCCTCTTATGAAAGAACAAACTGATACGAACGCCGTAGGTATCGACTCGGTGTTTTCGAGGTGGGCGACAAATAACGCAGGGGAGAATACCATTCGTGCGACGAAGTCGTCGTCGGTTTATTGCCATCGAGGAATTAAACCGGCACGACCCATGACCCGTTTTATCGTCGATGAATAAAACATTATGGGAGGCTTGGCAACCGGTGGAAATAATTCGATTAACCTTTATCGTTCTCCAGAAACTGCCTCCTCCTACTTCTTTTTTTTTCTTCCTTTGCGCGCTTCACCCTTCTCCGCGACACGCCCCGCAAAGAAGATGGAACTATTAAGAGAATTATCGACCAGGCTCCACCTCGATGGTTGTGGAACACATCGTATCGCAGTCGGCTTATCTGACGATGTCGCGCGTAATTACGAACGTAAACATATTTGCTCTAGATTTTCCATTGAGAACGATCGACGCTGGCAAACACATCTCGCCAGATACTGCGGTTTTAATTATCTGCGAACGATAGTCGCACGAACGAAAATCGAAATCGCGGGCAATGTTACGGGAACTCGGTGATTATACGGAATTTGCTGGATTTTCTGAGGTACAGTATAATTTCCAATAAGAAACATTCAAGAAGTGTAACGTCACGTTTAACTCGAGGAGAGCCAGACGGTGACCTAGATGATTCAACCGAGCAGTCAACTAGAAAATGAAAGACTCCGGTCTGAATAACCTAGTCCCGTAACCAGCTGATTTCCCCCCTCCCAAGTCTCCATAACAGACTCGAAAGCTCGCACAGCGTGCAATTCCGCGAAACTTTCAATTTCCTTTCGAACCAACGTTTCCGAATCGCCCTAATCAAACGGTGTCTTGATTTCAGCTAAATAGCTACAATTTGAAAATTAAGTATCGATTTTTACGATTTTTTTTTTCATCTTTTTCGGGTTGAAAAATTAAAAAAGAAAAATATTTTGGCTAAATTCCGGTAGTGCACAAGATGTGCCCCATTAGTCAAGTAGAATTCGAAATATCGTGGCAACCATTTTCCAAAACACTG